CGCAAGCAAAGATGTCTGAGGTTGTGTTAGCTCTTTCAGGCTGATGCCAACTAGATTTTTCATCTGGCTGAGAAATCCATGGAAGGAGGCAGGGAGAGAGGGCAGAGACCCTTATGGTGTGTGTAGCAGATGTGTGCACAGTGCAGTTGTGTGTTCCTGTTGTGTCTGTAGAAAGCAAAAAAGATGAAGTCAAGACTATATGATGATACCATGTCTACAGCATTGTGTTCTAAATAAGTAAATGTAATAGAATTATATATTTTATTAGATAAAATAGAAAAAAAGTGAAGCATTGGAGCATATGAGCTGTTTGCCACATTTCTTTTTTCAAGGAAAAATAGCCATTGCTAGTAGATACTTTTATGTGAAATTATTTAAATTAAGGAATGTGTCCATATGTAGGTTTTTTATGACCATATTTGATAGACAGCTTCATTAAATTTGTTGAAGATTTTATCTGGGTGACAAACTTGTAAGCCAGATCTGAGGCCCATGTACATCTGTTATTTTCTCTGCTAGAATGTTTCAACCAGTTAGAAAGTTTTCTTTAATGTTCCTGTCCTCCTTTAAAGATTTCCCAATTGTTTTAGCATACTTCAGTCGTTTCTTTTCCACCTCCTTATATTAATGTGATACTATTTCTTGCATATATATAGTGGATTTTGGGTAGTGTAGGGATAAGATAGTTAAGAATGTCTACTTTGAAATTTTTTTTGTGCCTGCTTTTTTGAGATTTCCCTTAGTGCTTCAGGTAATAGTAAAGAGAGCTCTATACAAAACTTAGATTTCATTATTATAAGCATTCATTTATAAGCATTATAAGCATATAAGTAATTGTTTATCTACAAGTGGATTGTGATTAGTACACAGCATCATCAACAGGAAACTCTTTGAGTACCAGGAAGTATTCCAGCACAAAAAATTCAAGGAGATTAAAGAAAAAAAAAATCAGCCAGATAAAAATTTAAATTAAAAAAAGTAAAAAAATTGGGACATGGACATTCTTCACTAAACCCATAATAGAAAAGATGCTGCATTTTTCTTCCCCAGCTTATTCCACAGGGAATTCCTCTGGGGCACGGAAGGTTCCTGCTCCTTTCACTAATTCAGAAAATGCATTTGAATCAGCATCATCTACAAGATGCCTTTTACTTCTACCAGCATAGCATATTTTCACATTCTTTTTCAGGCTTTTTTTGTTTGGGAGAGTATGACAATAAAATTGTTGGTAAACACCCTCCTGAGAACCTCAGAAATATGTCAGTTACTCCTTGAATTAATGCTTAATAACTTTCTGCTTGTGGTATTTTGATTATGTCATATGATGTACTCATATAATGGATATATCATAAAATAATAGCAAGGCATAAAAGTCAAAATGTCAGTTAAAATCCCTAGGCAAACTTTTTAAGTACACTTAAAAATTCTAAAAGTACTAAGCTGAGTTTTTCATTTTTAATTGTATTTTTAAAGAAAACTTTTTTTTTTTATCCCAGTCATACTAAGAAAAATTAAAATGGCATTTTTGATAAGTTAGAAATTTTAAATACCAACCAGCTCTATATATTAATACAGAAATAATGTAAAGCAAAAGTAAACAAAAGCAGCTTGTACAAAGAGTTCATCAAAGAATTATAAGGGAGGTTTATGTGCATAAATCAAAATATATACATGCATAATTGGAAATTACAGCATTCATCTGGTGGTGAGAGAATAATTCTAAATACATTTTTGTTTGTCTTTCCATAGATCTTAGGTATTAAGTAAATTGGTAGAAAACAATTACATCTTTCACATATAGTTTATATGTGTTTTAATTATTAATATATTAAGAAAAAAGTTTTATTAATCATAGAATACCAGGTTGGAAGAGATCTCAAGGATCATCTGGTCCAACCTTTCTTGGCAAAAGCACAGTCTAGACAAGATGGCCCAGCACCCTGTCCAGCTGAATCTTAAAAGTGTCCAGTGTTGAGGAATCCACCACTTCCCTGGGGAGATTATTCCAATGGCCAGTTGTTCTCATTGTGAAAATTTTTTCTCCTGTATCTAATCGGAATCTCCACAGGAGTAACTTGTACCTATTACCTTTGTCTTCTCCATGTGAGTCCTTGTAAAAAGGGAGTCTCCATCTTCTTCATGGCCACCCTTTAAGAACTGGAACAAAGTTATGAGATCTCCCTAAGCCTTCTTTTCTCAAGGCTGAACAAACCCAGTTCTCTCAGCCTTTCCTCATACGGCAGGCTTCCCAGTCCTTTGATCATCTTTGTGGCCCTTCTTTGAACCCTCTCCAGCCTGTCCACGTCTTTTTTGTATAGTGGAGACCAAAACTGAACACAGTATTCCACGTGTGGCCTGAGAAGCATTGAGTACAGTGGGATAATGACATCTTTATCACTTCTGGTGATGCCCTTGTTGATGTAACCCTGTTGGCTTTCTTTGCTGCCACAGCACACTGTTCATCCATATTGAGCTGCTTGTCCACCAGGACCCCAGGTCCCTTTCCACAGAGCTGCTCTCAAGCCAGGTAGATCCCAGTCTGTGCAGCACTCCTGGATTGTGTTTTCCCAGGTGCAAGACCTTACACTTGTCTTCATTGAACTTCATAAGGTTCTTGTTAGCCCATTCTTCCAGCCTATCCAGGTCTTCCTGCAGGGTGGCTCTCCCTTCCAAAGTGTCCACTTCCCCACTCAGTTTGGTATCATCAGCAAATTTTATCAGAGTACACTTGATCCTGTCATCCAAATCACTTATGAAGATATTAAACAGTGTTGGGCCCAATATCAATCCCTCGGGGACCTTACTTGTGACAAGTTGCCAGTTTGAAAGGGAGCTATTTACCACCACCCTCTGGGTGCAGCCTGTCAGCCAGTTCCCCACCCACTGCACAGACCAGTTGTCCAGACCATAAAGCATCAGTTTCTCTAGGAGGAGGCTGTGAGGAACCATATCGAAAGCTGTGGAGAAATCTGGGTAGACAACGTCCACCGCTCACCTCACATCAACTAAGTAGATTACTTTGTCGTAGAAGTAAATTGGGTTTGTCAAGTACAATTTAGCCTTGGTGAAGCCATGCTGGCTTTTCCCAGTCACGTGCTTCATTTGACTTGTGTTAGCCTTCAGGAGGATTCACTCCATAACTTTCACAGGGAATGAAGTAAAACTTAATTTATTAATGAAAAGAAAATATTTCTCTGACAGTGAACACACTACTAGGAGTGATATTGCAGCTTGCCATTTCAAAATGACTGTGGTTTTTATCACATAAGGTACATAATCACATGCCATTTATTGCTTTTCAGATTTGGTATTTAGCTTATTTTAACCTTGCAGCAATTCCTGGACCACTATTTAGAGAGTCATAGGGCAAATTCAATACATGGTAAAATTTGTTCATCTGTGACAACTGCTAAAATTGGTGTATGAGATTAAAACTGTAAAACCGATTATCACAGATAAAAAGTTATCTCAAATTTACACAATGGAATAAAGTATGATGATTAGAATGTTTTATCCTGTTTGAGTACTGTTTTGTTTACATATGTGATTGTTGCATGTTAATGAGGTTTTTCATTCAAGCAGACTGACTGAACACTTTCCAAACAACAACCTTTAAAATAAGTTTTTAAATTGCTATTGTTGTTTTATCATGGTGTCCTGTAAATAGATCAGT